ACGTTTCTTCCTGGTTATGTAAAAGGTAAATCGCACAAGCCAGAAACCAGCTGTAGACCGGCAGGAGCCCGGGCTCCCTACCGGTGTCACCTGCAGCTGGCACAATCCTGGTGCCACGCACCTCTCCTCTCCTCCTGGGGTATCCCGACCCCTCTGGCTGAGTTACCGTGCTGAGGGAAGCTCGCTTCCCCTCTGGCCACGCACCCGTTCGGAGGCACTGATCCCCAAAACAGGCTCCCCCAGGGCTCTGCCCTGCCGGATCCGAGCGGCTCCCGCCGCGGGCAGCCCGTGCGCTCAGCCCGCCGCTCGCCGCAGCTCCGCGGCACTAATTGCCGGCTGCAGCTACGTATAATCGATGCCATGCTGCTCCCCATCGGGGCCGGCAGCCGTGGGGGGCTCAGCAAGCACCTGCGCCCGGGCTACGGCTGGCCTCGTCCATGAACCGGGAGGGGGCTGGCCTGGCCTCGGCGCGCCGCGGGGCTCGCCCGGGAGCGGGGCCGCCCGGGCGGAGGCGGAGCTCGGCAGGCAGCGGGGTCGGGCCCTGCCGGCGGTCGCTGTTCGTGGTGCTGAACTCCAGCAGGACCTCACTGGCTCCGCGCCCGCGGGGACCGAGCCAGCCCGGGCGGCGGCGCGGGGCCCTCCGCTCGCCGCGCTCCCCGGAGCCGCCGCCGCTGCCCGGTGCGGGCGGGGTGCCGGGGCCGGCGGGGCCGCTCCCGCCCGCCGGCGGTCAGTAGATGGCGCAGAACCCCCGGGAACCGACGAGGGGCGACGAGCGAGGGCTGCGGACGGCGCGATGGCCCCGGCCGGTCGGGATGGGCATCGCGCCCGCAGCCCGGCCGTGTGACCCGGGGCGGCCCCGGCGGCACCCTCGGGCGGGAGCCGCCCTGTTTTGAGGCTGTTTGATTCAAACGGCAGCGAGGGTGGGACCGGGGCACGGCCCCCGGGTGCCGCCCCGCCACGCGGCGGGTAATTAAAACAAACAAACAAACAGCCGAGCGAGCGAGCGAACAAACAAGCGGGGCCGAGCCGTGCTGCGGGGGCGGGGGCTGCGCTGGGACGGGCTCGGGGCGGGCCCGGCCCAGTGCGGAGGAACGCGGCTCGCCCGGGCCCGCTCCTCCTCCCGCTGGGCAAACATTAACGAAGGGCAAACGCGGCTGTAAATCAATCCCGCCGAAGGACACGGCCGGCAAACAAGCGCGCCCCAGCGCTGCCCCGGCTGCGCACCGGGCACGACTGCTCCGGGTGCTCTCTCATCCTCCGATCCCTCCGGGACAGGGCCTCTCGCCTCGGCCCAAGCTCCGCACCGGCAGCAGCCGAGGTGCGCCGAGCCAGGCCCGGGCCGGCCCCGTGCGGGCGGTCAGCAGGGTCAGGAGGGGAAGGGCTCTCCCCCGGGCCCGGTCCGCTCTCGGAGTGTCGCCGGTGAAGGCCCCGGTCGATGCCCCCCGCCTCCCTGATGCAAACGCCTTTATGCAAAGTGCCCGCAGGGTAAATATTAAACAGCCCCTAATGAGGCCACCGGGGCCGGGGCGGCCCAGACCTTCCCGGCGCGCTCGGGGGCGGCGGCGGGCGAGAGGTGCAAACGGCGTCATTAGATTTCATATTTAATGTGGAAAACGCTCTGATTACTCTATCGATTTCTTTACAGTTAATTTGGCGAGAATTTCTCGCCGGCTTCGCAAGGCTTCAGCTTAGCCGGGATTCACATGAGGCGGGAGAAAGGATAAGAGGAGGGGAGGAAAAGAGGTGCAGCTATGAAAAATAGCAGCCAGGTCGCAGGCCAACATGGAGCAGCTCTGGAGGGACGGGCCTGTCCCCTCCTGAGAGCCGCGGGCGAGCGCGGGTTCCCCACGGCGCCTCTCCCTGCTGACACCCGCTCGGGGAGCCCCCACGGAGGGGCCCTTCGGGACGAGCTGGCTCAGAGGGCGCACATCGGCACAGGACCCCCTCCGGCAGCAGAGTCTAAGGAACCTTGGGCTCCCTTACACTCCTCTGGCGCGTTTGCAAAATGTGTCTCTGCCGCGTTTTCCCTGGCCGCTACCCTTCCTCCCGATCGGCGGGTCCGTGCGAGGCCGGCGGGCAGTCGCAGTTCCAATAATGAATGGCTCGAAGTAGATTATTTTTTCCTGAACAAGACAAAGTCGGGATTTTTTTCTTCCTTTATCCTCTCCTGTTTCCTCCTTCTCGCACACACGAAAAAAAAAATCCAACAAACTGAAATGAATTCAGCCTTAAATCCCAGCAGGCTGCAGAAGGGATGTACTTTTTCTTTTAATTGTATTTATTTTTTCGGTGTCCCTTCACAGCCCTTCCAAATGTCAATGAAGGCGAGGGAGAGGGAGGGAAGACTACAGAGAGACAGTCAAACAGATAAATATTCAGTGATAGAGAGGAGAGAGAGAGTGGGACAGACAAAGGAAAAAAGAACAGAGAAGAGAAGGGAGATGGGATGAATAAGATGGAGGCTGGAAGAGGTCAGCTTTGCAATTAGCAGTTCTGCTTACATTTCAAGAGACAGCCCAGGAAGTGTCAAGACCTCAATCCTGCTTCCATGTAACTACCAATTTTTCTTCTATTTGTCGGAGCTTCTGTAATCTGGGAGGTAGGAATCCCCCAGGGACGGCTGGAAGGGGCAAATACTCAAGATAAAGTGCAAGGCGAGAACGCGAGGCCTAAAATAAGCAGGCTCCATCCCCCTCACTGCCTCCCGGTTGTTGTCTGCGGGAAATCAGAAAGGGAAGAAACGAAGGCGGCTCTGGGTATTTATCTACCTGATAATTCTCTAAACGCCCGGGAGTGAGTTATAATTTGGACGTGAAATTTAATTTGCGTCGGCTGCAGTAATTTATGTTATTTTGAATTGATGTTCATACATCAATATCAATAGGGGCAGATTTTTACCACTTAGTAAGATCATCACACGTTTAAAACCTGCACAAAATAAAATCGATACTTTATGCATTTACAGCCGGTGGCCGGCAGCGCGGCGCGGAGGGGTGCGGAGGGGCGCGCAGGCTGCGCGGGGCGGGGCGGGGGCCCCGGGACCGCCCCACTGACAGGGACTCGGCTCTATGCAATTGCCCACGTGCTGCCGGAGCCCAGGTGGGCAGCGCCCGGCGAGGCCCGGAGCCCCCGGTACGCGGGGAGAGCTCTGCGGGGCATCCCGACCCCCCCCGTGCTGCCAACCCCTCTTCGCCCCGGGGAAGCTGTTTCTGTAAGGTGCCAGCTTTCGGGTTTCATCGGAAAGGGAAGGCGGAATAATGAGGCTTTGTCTCTCTAACGGGATTACCGGGATCCGTTTATGAGAGGGCAGCGCTGAGGTGGCTGGAGAAGGGGCGGTCTGGGGGCAGCAGCGAACAATGGGACCCTCCGGACCCGGCAGCTGGGCAGAGCACGGCCGCCTCCCTCCCTCCCTCCCTCCTCCCTCCCGGCCTGCAGCAGCCGGGGCTGGCAGAGCTTCCCGGCCGGCAGCGCCAGGAAAGGGATGCCAGCAGCCTCGGAATCGAGGGGTTGTTTCCAGTATCGATCTATGCAAATGAGCGGAGATTCAGGTCGACCAAATTGTCGTAAAAATACGCTCCAAATCGAAGAAAGTTCGCCTTAGTAATCGTTACGGGGATATTGGAAACACAAACTCCATCCTCCTCTCCCGGGTAGCACCAACCAGACGAGGGTTTTTCGCTGGTGGGGTGGCTGCTGAGAAAGGGAAGGCGGAAAGGGCAGTTTCTGAGAGCTCAGACCTTTGAAACTGACTCCGCAGGAGTGGAAGCCAAAGAGAGCAACGTCCTCCCACTGGCGGGCACCTAAGGGCCAGCTACAGCGGGGAGGGAGGCCCTGCCCGTACCCTTCCTGGCTCTGCTTTAGGTTTCTGGAACAAGGTGGTTGACTGAAAATACGCACGGGGCACGGTGGTGGCCCAGCTGCGTCCCTGCACACTCGGGAAACGGTCGCAAGTTGTCACCGTCTCGGCAGTCGAGAGTGCAAGACCAGTTTGTGCTTTTGAAAGGAGAAAGATTTGGCCCTTCCCTTATTTTTGTCTGTGAAACGGATCAGTGACCCTGGCTCCAACTCGGATTGACTGTCTTGCGTTCTCCAGGGACAAATTAATGGAGACCTATCACTTAATTAACAAACCCTCACTCACGGTATATTAAACCCGGGCTCTGCAGGCGGGAGGGTTTGGGAGGCGGCGGCAGAGCACAGGTACGGACCGGGACGGCCATCTCTGAGCAGACAATACGGGACCCGCTCGGGAGCACACCGGGCAGCGAGCGCCGACCGCGGGGCGAGGCTGCGAGCAGCGAAGCCGCGGCACGGCCGGTCTGTCTCACGCAGAGACATCCACGCGAAACTCAAAGTGCGCGGCCTAATGATAACTACAACCAGTTAAAAATAAAAAGAAATCCAACGATTTTAGCCACCAGCATTTCTCAGGCACAGCTCACCCGCCGGGCTCGGCTCACTCGCGCCTGTCCCAGCTCACCCAGCCCGAGCGGGACCCCGAGCCCCACCGCGACCTGAGCCCACCGCCCCGACACAAAGCAGACGCACCGACTCTCTCGGCGGCGCATTACCGGGGCTCCCCCGTACCCCGTCCGTGGGCCCGGTTCAGGAGCCAATTCAAGCATTTCCGCCTCGCCCTCTGCGCAGCGTTGCCGCCGGCCAGAGCGGCTTTCGGCGGCGTCCCGTTACCGGGCGGGCTGGGCGTCCTTCTGCCCGCGGCAGGCGAGCCCGGGGGTGCGCCCGGCCGGGGAACGGGGAGAGCAGGGGGGCCGCAGTGCGCTGCCCGAGCCCGGCTCGGCTTTGTCTGAGCGCGGCGCAGAGGAGCCGGACGGTGCCGGTGCTCCGAGCCGGGAGAGGGAGAGGGGAAGGGAGAGAAATGGAGAGGCGGAGCGGGGGATCGGTGCTGCTCTTCAGGGACAGGCGGGCACCGGGGCGGCCTGCCCAGGCCCGAGGCCCCGCTCTGCCGCTGCCGTGCCCCGAACACCCCGCAGCGGGCTCACCTGCAAGCCGTAGAGCAGACATCCGCTGAAACTCCGGCTCCTGGAGCCACTTCCACATTCTGCGGAAGGTCTCCCGGCCGGATTTGAGCTTGCTCCAGGGCTTGGGGTTCCTCAGCAGGTCCGAGAGTGTCCCTTGAGAACGGCACAGCACCCTCTGGGCGAAGATAGCCTGGGGGATGCTGTACCGCTTGAGCTCGGTGGTGATCCTCTGAGCTACTTCTTTGGTATTGATTTCTTCCATTTGCCCTGAATTACTTCCACTGTTGACCTGCGAACCAGTTACAGAAGGGTTTTGCTCCCTGGCAGAGCCCAGGATCTGCCCGTGGCTCTGGGCATTCAAGTGGGCATGGGGGTGGTGTGGGATCCCGTTGATAGGCACCATGCCAGCGGAGGTGGGGGTGAGGTGTTGGTCGCCATGCCTGGCTAACATGGCAGGGTGGTGGGCTTCAAATCCGTTTGGGGTGAGCATTTTCTCGGCGGGCATGGTGGCACTGGGATGAGCGTAGTGGGGCAGCCCTTGCTGGGAGTTGTGGATGCTCCCCAGGCCCGATCCAGACAACGGAGAGAGGCTCTGCCCCATGCCGGTAACATCCTTGTGGTAGGGGGTGTAGAGATTGTTCATGGACGCCAGACCCCTCTCGTCCCGCATGAGCGTGAAGCTGCCGCTCACGTTGCCCGGTATCCGCTGGTGGGGATGGTGATGGTGGTGATGGTGGTGGTGGTGGTGAGGGAACTTGTCCGAGACCGTCGAGATGGGAGGTAGAGGCTGCAGAGGGGTTAACGTGGTGTAGGTGCTGCTCATGCTCATGCCGGGGGGTGTCTCGCAGGCCATGGTCATGGTGGGGTGCAGGGGGCCGGTCAGCGCGTGCTCGGGCGGCCGGTGGTGGTGGTGGTAGTCGCCGCCGTCGAGGATGGACGCCATGCCCATGGAGCGCGGGTGGGCCGGCAGGTGGCTGCCGCGGTGGGCCACCGCGCTCCGGTGGTGGGGGCTGCCGCTCATCAGGTCGGCGGCGGCGGGCACCGGCTCATGGCTCACCCCGTGCAGATCGCCGATGTTCTCCATCGCCAGCTGCGCGTTCATCGTCGGCCGTGCGGGCGGCGGGACCGCACATCTATCTGGTGGGCGGCGGGGCGTCCCGGAGCTCTTGGCGGCGGCCGGTTGCTCCCGCGGGCCGGCGGCGGCGGGCGAGCGCTGCGGGCTGGTGGTGGCGGTGCTGCTGCTGCTGTTGCCGGGCTGCTGGCTTTCCCGTTTCGGTCGGTTTTTTTATTATTATTATTATTATTTTCCCGTTCAATATTTATTTTGTGGCAACGTATTTATTTGTTTTTTCCCGCTGCTGGCTGGCGCCGCCGGGCCGGTCCTAGGGCCGCCGCTCCCTCAGGCCGGGCCCCGCAGCCGCGGCCGCGGCGGGTGTGTGGCCGCGTCCCTCGCCATCCCCAGCCATGGCTCTCTCTGCGCCCCGCGCTCCGGCTCCGCTCCGTGCTGCAGCGCCGCCGCCGCCCGCACCGCGCATGCGCGCGGCGCCCCCTCCCGCCCCGCCCCGCCCCGTGACGTCAGCGCCGCTATTAAGCGGGCGAGCCCCGCGCGGCGGCGCTCAGAGCCGGCGGTGTCGCTGCCCCGCGCCCGCGGCCCCCGCCCCGGGCACAAAGGGCCGCCCCGCCCCGCTCTGCTGCCGGCAGGGACACCCGCCCCGCCCCTTCGGTGACTCCGCGTTTTCCGTGAGCGCGGAGCCTCCTCACCGGGAGCTTCCGGAGGTGACACCGGACCGCCCTGCCCCGCGGCGCCCGTGGGCCGTGCCCCCCGTGTGCCCCACACGTCCTATCTACCCACGCTGTCCCGCAGCCGCGTGCCCCGGTATCGCTCTTCTCAGGTGCCCTACGGGGAAACTTCCCGTTGCCCGGCCTGGGGATGGGCGGTGGGAGCCCCACGGAGCTGGGTCCCGGGGTCAGCCCCGCGGCTCAGCTCCCGCACCCCTCGACCACCCCTCCCGGGGTCCGGCCGGGCGGTGCGATGGGGAGGGACGCCCCCCTGCAGCCCCCGCCGGGGACCCCGGGCGTGCCCGGCAGTGCAAGGCGAGCATATGTCCCGAGGCGCCCAGCAGCCGGACATGCCGCTGGTTTTCTTTTATTTTTTCTTCAAAAAGAAAGAAAAGGAGGCGGAGGAGAGAGAACAAGCGAGCTCACCCGCCGGCCCCCCTCGTTAGCTAAGGTGCCTTTATGCTGGAAGAAAGGGCAGATGTGCCTATTGTTCGCCCATTAACAATAACGAACCACGCCGGGCAGAGTGCAGCGTGTGCGCGGCGCCGAGCGGCGGGAGGGACGGGCCGAGCCGAGCCGAGCCGCGGGAGAGCCGCGGGGCCGCGGCCGGGCGGCACCGGGCCGGCGGCGCACAAAGGCCGCGCCGCTTCCCCCCGCACTGCTGTCGGGCACCGCGGCTGCTCTCGGCTCCCTGCGGAGCCGCCTGTCCCCAGAGCCCCGGCCCGGCCCGGGCACAGCGAGCGGATCTGCGCCGCGCTGGGGCTCGGGCACCCCGGTGTCTTTTCCATGGAGCGGGGGATAGGAGCTGAGCACCTGTCCTGGCGAAGCCCGCAGAGTGAGGGCGAGCCGCTTCGCCCCGCGGGACCCGCGCACAGGTCTGTGCGGGGCCCGGTCACCCTCCCTGCGCTCCGCCGAGAGCTCCAGGCCCCGTCCCTGCTGAGCGGCAGCGGTCGCTGCCAGCGGCCCCGGGGGGAGCCAGGCTGCAGGGACAGAGCCAGGAGCCGGTCCTGGGGCAGAGTCCCCCTGGGAGCGAGCTGAAATCAGCCCCTGGGGTTACGTTTCTCGGAGTTATTGCCCTAACTTTACGGACAGGGCCTGCGGAGATTCCCCTCGGTACGAGGGGTCCCGTGGGGTCTCACTGTTCTCCGCTTCACCGAGGCAGCGAGAGCCCTCGGCCCGCGCTTTGAGCCCAAAGTACCGCACCAGCGGCGGGCCTCGGCGAGGAGCCCCATCGGCGGAGCCAGGCCTGGCCCCGCTCCTTCCCTGCTGCCCGTCCACAACGCCCGCGGGACCAGGTGTGCCCCGCCGCGGGCTGCGGGCCGTGCCTCGCACCGAAGCGTCCGGGCCGTCCTCCCGCACCCCCGCCCCGCAGCGAGACCCGCAGGTGAGCGGAGCCCCGGTGCCTCTCGCCCAGGCAGCGCTGCGCTCCTGGGGCGCTCACGGGGACCGTGCCCGGGGAGCCCGGCGTGGGGGCTGCCGCCGGGACCGGCCCCGTGCGTGTGCCTGCGCTCGGGGAGCTCAAAAATCACCAGGCAGGAAACTTTTAGAATCGCAACTATGGTCTGTGTGTGTGTTGCGTGTACGGCCCTGGAAGCGAGTGTACTTTTTTCCCTCTATAAATTGAGAATTTCCACAGCGGTTTTATGTATTTCCCGAAATTAACACACATACACACGCACACACACATACATACATACACACACACGCTTTTAAGAATTCTCAGCTATTGAACTCCGTCTCCGAAAGAAATCAATTGCTCACTACCGTTCATTTTCCGTGGGCACAAGGAGTTCCCTGTATTTTATTTTGTGCTAAAAAAAATCCCACGTACAGATCCCGCAGTCCCTACCACCTCAGACACCCCCAGTCCTAAAGGCTTCCACAGCTCTCTAAATTTTTGTAACGTTAACGCTGACAGTATCTCCATTTCTGATAGCGAGGAATAGATAAGGAAATGTGTATCTGCCAAAGAAGAAAAAATAAACCTGAAAACTAATAAATGACCTCAGAAAATGTTTAGGATTAAATAAAATAAAATACAATAGAATACAAAAATAAAATACAATAAAGTACAATAAGAAAATAAAATAATCGAGAAGGTTTTGAGACCGAAGTGAACAGCTGTGATTGTTTCCCAAGCCAACGCAAGGTGATGTCACAGATCTAATCGAAACATTGTCAGCTTCTTCATTATCAATATCTGTACACAATTTACAGTTTAATTAAAAATATTTAATCTCCGTGTATTTAGCGATTAGTTATCAAAGCAAACGTCATAGCGAATATGTTACTTCCTCGAGTTTGTAGGAAATTGCAACATCCAATTTTTCTTCAAGAAATTAATATAAACCCGACCGCCAACAATTTGGAGAGTCCAGTGACACGCCGGCCTCCGTCGAGGTTCAATCTCTAACCTTAGAAAAAAGTGGCCGTATAAACGCACCCAGCTCCCCCCAGCCCCACATGCATCTTTTATTTTTGAAATATTTTTCCCGTTACTCTGGGGGTGACCCAAAGACGAAGCGGCTCTGGTGCGCAAAAGCCGCCGGCGCGGAGGACAGAGCAGCACCTCGGGCCCGACCACCCCGGTCCCGTCTCAGCTGCAGGGTGCCCCGGGACCACGGGATGGGCTCGCAGAAGCCCGGGACAGGGCAGACGAGGCCGGCACACCTTCTCGCAGCCTCCGTTCTCCGCCGTCGGTGGTGCCGTGCCTGGGCTCCCCTCGTCGCGGACCCCGGCGCGGTTCCCCCGCGGAGCTTCCCGCCCCACTGGCGAAGGGCGAGCGCCGGAGAGAGCTCATTTCGGTGCGCTAATCAATTACTGCTTGTGCAGTCAAGTACCATATATTTAACAGAATAATCGTTACCGCCCTTAAGTCTTTATTTGATCAGCAGATACTCGGAGCGGACTTAAAACGCAACTTTGCTTGTTTGAATTGCGTGGCGTGTGTGTGCTTTTTAAATCCGAGCTAATGACACCATGAAACGGCCGTAATCTCCCGCCTGACGCCAGCAAACACCGCGCGGGCACCGGGGCCCGCCCGACGTGGCGGCCCGGCCCGGGGCAGCGATCCCAGCCCGCCGCAACCGACCGGACAGAATCGGTTATGAAACATTTTTTTTTTTTAATTTTTTCTTTCCCTTTTTTTTTTCCCCCCCCCCCCCCCTTTAATTTATTTTTATTTGTGTTATACTTTTCCACTTTGATTTTCTTTTAATGGCGTGTGAGGGGGCTGCCGCCGCCCGCGCCCTCCCGCGCCTCCTGTGCGGTGACAGCTTGCGGCACCGGGTCCCCTCGCACGGGGAGCGTGTCAAAGGTGACGCTCGAAGGCTCCCAAAGCCAACAGCTGCCGGGGGGGATTAACTTTTCCAGACTTTCCCCTGTCGAGCTTCTTGGAAACTTGCTTGGCGACAAAAACATATACATCTGTCGGGGGCAGACAGAGAACAGAGGGCTGCGCCGGCCGGGGCAGGTGGGGGAGGGCCTGGCTTTCAGGGGAAGCTGCGGCGCGGCGGGGGCTCGCTGCGGGTGCCCGCCCGGGGGGGTCCTGCCTTTGCCTTTCCCCCTCCCGCAGCCCTCTCCCCCCGGGCCCGGACTTCTGCCCGAGGGGAGCCTCGTGGAGCCCAGGCTCGGCAGCGCGGTGACTGAACTCGCTCCGAGCCTGCCACCCGCCTAAGGGCGCTGGGCTCTTCCCTTCTCCCCTCTGGAGCCCCCATGGGGGGTCTGGGCGGCTGAAGGAGAGGGCACCGAGCGAGCCCCGGGGGCTGCAGGGCGCTGCCCGGCCGAGCCGCCGCGGTCCCTCTGCAGCCGCGCTCTCCCGCACCCCCCGGAGCAAACCGCAGCGCTTGTTAATGAAGGAACTTATGGAAGATTGCAAAACACCGTAAATAATTTAGCATTGTATTTCAGGAAAAAAAAATAGCTTTCTTAAATCATCTCCTCAATATAACTTGCAGACTTACAGTATGGCCCTGGTAAGTCTAAATTTTTAAAGTAGCAATACTCAAAGAGACAGAGATGTCTGTATTAATTATTTATCCGCTGGTGCCTTCCTTCGTTTCTAACTTATTATTAATTAGGCGCCTCTAGTCTTTCGCAGAGAGCTCCACAGAGCCAGTTGCAGCTTTAAATATGAATTAAAAGCAAATCCAAGCTACTGTAATGCGAAAATTATTCCGTGTCTTCTATGGCAGAGATGAATAGCTGCGCAAATCAATACTGTGAAGCTATGCTCCAAACGACAGGGTTATTGATAGCTTATATTAATGATGTTAATGATGGAAAAAGGAAAACAAGAACCCGACCAACTTATAAACTTTTTAT